AAGCACAAATGTGAGTGATGAGCTTCCCAGCTGCTAGTGAAGAAGCCAGGTCCCCTCATATATGGAGGATCCTGTGTCTATCAGATAAAATAATTTGTAAGTTCCCTTATAAGGGCAATGCCATGAGCTTTACCTCCATAGGACTTGGCAGGTGTCTAACTCAAGTGAAGGAGAATGACAGGAATGCAGCGCTGACTGGGGAGCAGGATCTAAGGGAAACCCGGAGGTAGGATGCTAGTGATGTTCTGGAGCCCCCTGGAGAACCCATAGTGGGGCATTGTAACAAGGTTCCTGAGACTGTGGAAAGGACTTTAGAACTGGCTAACTGGCAGAGGCTGGAACGGTTTGGAGGGCTCAGAAGAAGACAGGAAGGCATGGGAAAGTTTGGAGCTTCCTAGAGACTTGTTGAATGGTTTTGACCAAAATGCTGATAGTGATATGGACGATGAAGTCCAGGCTGAGGTGGCCTCAGCTGGAGATGAGGACCCGAATGCTGGTAGCCAAGGCAATGGGGAAAATGTTTCCAGGGCATGTCGGAGACCTTCACAACAGCCCCTCTCATCACAGGCCGAGAGGCCTAGGAGGGAAAAATAGTTCGTGGGCCAGGCCCAGGGCCCTACTGCTCTGTGCAGCCTCAGGACTTGGTGCCCTATGTCCCAGCCACTCCAGCTCCAGCCATGGCTAAAAGGAAAGAAGGTACAGCTCAGGTCTTTGCTTCAGAGGGTGCAAGCCCCAAGCATTGGCAGCTTCCATGTAGTGTGCAGAAGACAAGAGTTAAGCTTTGGGAACCTCTGCCTAGATTTCAGAGGATGTATGGAAATGCCTGGGAATCGACCATTAAATTGGCAGGAATTAAACACAGCCATGATTAAAAAAAAAAAAAAAAAAGTAGATAACAGAAACTCATAATCAAATAAGTTATGCTAAAAACAAAGGTGATTCATATTAAAAACTCCTCGTTGCTTTGCTACATTGTACTTTTGTCCATGGGACTGAGGTTATTTAGGCCACCTGTCTCGGTGTGGTAGAAATACTATATGGGGCGGTACGACAGGGCATCTTTCCCTAACTCCAACTTCAGATGTCATCTTGGTAGCTTAAAATTGGACACGGTGAAAATATTGACAGCAGGAAGCTGGCAAATGCTAGAAGTCAGCAAATGGAGAGCTGGGGCTAAACATTTACCAGCAGACCACTGAGCGACGACCACCATTCCTCAGTACCTGTCAGTCATTGTTGAAGAAACATATGTACATCAGAAAACCTAGTGCTGAAGGAATTAGTGAATCAGACCGACATGAATCTAGTCCACTATAGGCAACACTGACCTTTTCTTAGTTTGACCCAGAGGGTTTTTCACCCCACCAAACTCCTAAAATCCCACCCGTGCAGGGTCTTGATGTTACTACCAACCACCGCAAGATCCAGGCCTGACTTTCCTTTGGAAAGTGATTATATACCTTTGTCTTCCTTCCTCGAAAACTTTCATACCCTTAATTTCTTGCTCTCTAATCCTCCCAACTAGAAGAAATAAATCCATTTTTTGGCTTCCCACTGGGATTTACATGTGTGAGGATGGATTCTTGAGTTAGCCATTTAGAGCTAGGATGCCAGACAAATGAAGGGTGGGTGGGAAGATATTTGGGGCCAAGGAAAACATTTTAGTTTCATGAAATCCTGCCATGATTTTGCCTACACTTAAATTAGTTCTGGGTGTTGAAAGCAACCTTGCCCTCCTACCACCCAGAAATTAGGTTGCAGTGTAAACCACTTCTATGAAGTGAAAAGGCTGTTGCCATCTGTGCATCTACATCCAACGACCTTACATAGACAAACAACCACATCAACTGTTCTCACCTGCCAGGGAAAATGGTATCATAGCAAAGGGACTGTGAATCCATTGTATAATTAACATTGTATATGAACAGAATCAAAATATTTATTCAAAATAAAAATATCTCACCCGTATAGGTATTATGTGCCATACTTCAAATGCTCGTGGAACCAATTGTGATCAATAAAATACTAATCTTTTTTTCCTTCTTTCCAACTTTTATTTTGGGTTCAAGGGGTACATGTGCAAGTTTATCACCTGGGTAAATTGCACGTTGCTGGGGTTTAGTGTACAGATAACTTTGTCACCAAAGCAATTAGCATAATACCTGATAGACAGTTTTTCAGTCCTCACCCTCCTCCCTCCCTCCACCCTCAAGTAGGTCCCAGTGTCTACTATACCCTCATTTGTGTCCATGTATACTCAGTGTTTAGCTCCCATTTATAGGAGAAGATGTGGTATTTGGTTTTCTGTTTCTGTCTTAATTTGCTTAGGATAATGACTTCCAGCTCCATCTGAGTTGCTGCAAAGGACATGACCTCACTGCTTTTTATGGCTGTGTAGTCTTCCATGGTGTATATGTACCACATTTTCTTTATCCAGTCCACCATTGATGGGCATCTGGGTTGCTTCTATGCCTTTGATATTGAAACGCAAATCTTTAAAAGTAACACTGAATCTGTACTTGCTTTCTGCCAATATGTATTTCTTTCAAGTGATGGATACTAAATGTGCAATTACTGTGAGGAAAGGGTTACTAGAATTGTTGCCATTACAAGTCTACAAACTTGTAGAAACTTGATAGATATGTGCTCAATAAGGGTCTAGAGGAGGCAAAACTGAGCAGCTTCAGACCCTGGAGGTTCCAACTTTGAATTAACCCAACTTTTAATTCAGATGGAAGAAGAAAATTCCAAAGATGGGGAGATGGAAAAAAAGGTCTGAAGAACCAGTTCCTGCTGTCAGTTCTGCCATTTCTTTGACCAACTCATTCTTCCCCTCAACCGTGTTTCCCTTTCCCACTAAAGCGGGCCAGGAACACTGCTTGCTGCAGTTTCAGAATCAGAAATTTTCCTTCTAAGCTCTCATACACTCCATAGGAAAACACCTTATTGAAATTAACCACATTTTAAAATTTCTCTCAGTACAGGGAACCCCTTGAGGTCAGACTCCACATTTCTTTCATCTTTAACAGCCACTGCTGAGTGGAGTGTTTGGTTCATGATGGGTGATCAGTGAATCTTTATTTAATTGAATTACTATGAGGGTAAAAACCAAATGGAAAATACATGTAAAAGTGGTTCATAAAGTATGAAAAGTATACAAAAGTAAGATATTGTTAGTAGAATTATTCTTAATTTACTCATCCTTCTTTCATTTACTCTACGAATACTTACTTTTCTAGGTAGCAAGCAGAGAATAAACAGAGGAAAAAAACATCAATTCATTCAACAGCAATTGCAAACACCAGAGTCATTGCTCTATTATGTAATTAAAGAACTAGCAAAATTTTGGTCCAGAAACTGAAACTAGGAACGTAAAAAGACCCTCCGACTTGGCTGAGGGGTATCTCAGCAAGAAAGAAAGATACTTTCAGAAAGCCAGAGAAAGGGGTGCCTCGTTTAGGAAGGAGTTAACTTGGGGTAAGAGGAGGTCACAAGGAGACCCAACGGGATGGTGAGCAAGCCGCATCTCCCAAGCTCCAAATGAGCCTACCTCATTCATTTCCACATAGTGGATTTTTTAAATGCTCAACATGTGTGATAAATTAGTAGTTTTATTTTTTTCAAATAAGTGTAGCTATGAATAAACTCCTGATTGTAGTTTATATATCACAAATTGGGAAATAGAGTTTGGTAAATTAAAGTGTATTTACAGAAACAATATGTCAGAACAACTTAAACTGGGGATACTTTAGAAAATTCTGCGTAGGAGAAAGCTAAGGGAACACCACGATCCTGAGGTCAAAGTAACTGGAAGATTTTTAAAATTTCCAGCTATAGTTGGAGGAGGGAGGACAGTGGAGCTGATGTTTGACTCCAAAGGCTGCATGGGACATAATAGACTTTCAAGAATTTTATACCCACACGTATGTGAATGTAATATAATGTTCATATTTTATGTAATGTACAATATATGTATGTGTGTAAAATAGGATATATAATGACTGAATAAATGAATTGACTAAGTTTATTACAATCCCCTGCCTTTAGGTAAATGAGTATTTCTAATCATACAGGAGCAAAGTTTATTTTATCTTTCTAAAACTCTGAATATTGCCTCTCTGGAAACCACATAATTCCTCACTAGTGGAGATTTATCTTGTTTTAATTTCCCTCTGTTTCATCTTTCTCTGATGCAAAGGTACCTGATGAATTGCACTCTCACAGTGTCCACCTTATAGTCAATGTGCTACTCAGGTGTCATCTCATCAGGAAGCCGTCATTCAGCCCTGCCTGGTCTCAGTGTTGCTCTCCTGTATGCTCATAAAACCTCTGTGAATCCACTGTTGCACTTTCCCCACTGTGCTGGAAACAGCTATTTATCACTCTTTCCTTCCTTAGGCCAAGAGCTTTGTCAGGCGAAGAACCATTTATGCCTTTTTTACCTTCTTACCCTCTACCTGTTACAGTGCCTGACATACACAGCCTACTCAATATTGATGAAATGAATGAATGGATGAATAATCACACAAGGACCCAGACCTCCCCACAACACTCATACACACATTAAAAAACAATCAGTTTGTTTTTGGTAAGTTTTGCTTCTTCCCTTGATCCCATGTAGCCCAAGCACTTATGGTGCATACAGTCAGCAATGGTGCATACTGTGATAGAGAAGCACGCCCTGAACATGCACACACACGCACATATATGTACACACATACACATCCATGCACACATACTGGGACTGGATACTACCTCTTGATCAGAGAGCACTTCTTGGCTACTCTTCCTTAAATGCAAAGCACATGCACTTCCCTTTATTGAAAGCTCTGGGCTACTCTCGGAGTTCTTACGGCTGCCAGGGGATGTAGGCAACACTTCCATGGTGACCCATAAGGACTTTGGGCCAGACAGTGTAGCACTGAGGGCTCACTGTAGTTATTGCTCAGAGGAAAAAAACTAAAGAAACTCAACAGTGGTCTTCCCAATCACTGGAGGTCTCCTTCCCCACAGAACTGCTCGATGGAGGCAGGCCAGGTCCCCCCGGGCCCCAGGCTCATCATTGTGCCTTGCAAAGGCCTTTCAGCCTTTGCATCTGCCCCTGTAGCACTGTTTTAACTGTCTCATTGCGGAAGGTAAGGATAAAGGGATTGAGGAAGGGGGTGAGAACTGAAGTCACCAAGGCCACGACCTTCCTGACTTGCACAGAGTGAGCTTTGCCAGGCCTGACATACAGAAAGATAGTACTACTGTAGCCAATGAAGACCAGTGTGAGGTGACACCCGCAGGTGGAGAAAGTCTTCCGGCGGCTGCTGGCAGAGGGGATCCGCAGCACGGTGGTCACTATGTAGCCATAGGAGATGAGGGTCACCAGGAAGGAGCTGAGGACAAAGGCCAAGGCCATCAGAAAGTCCCAGAATTCTAATAGGCGAGTGTCAGAGCAGGACAACTGCAGGAGAGGTGCACTGTCACAGAAGAAGTGGTTAATGACGTTGCCATGGCAGTAATCAAGATGAGCTCGGGAGAGGACAGTAGGTACCATGGCTAGGAAAGGAGCTGACCAGGCAGCCCCAGCCAGCTGGACACACACAACCCGGCTCATGAGAGTGCCATAGCGCAGTGGGTGGCAGATGGCCACAAAGCGGTCAAGGGCCATGTCTGTTAGGATGAGGAAGGAGGTGGAACCCAGGGAAAAGTAGAAGTAGAACTGGACCATGCAACCAGTGAAGGTAATGACTTTGTGGGGGACCAGCAGGTCTGAGAGCATCCTGGGCACTGCAGTCATGGTTACCAAGATCTCCAGCAGGGAAAAATTGGCCAGGAAGAAGTACATGGGTGTATGTAGGTGGGTGTCAGCTATGACCATAACTATAATGATGGTGTTTCCGATGAAGGCGAGAAGATAAAGCATGAGGAAGGGGCCATACAAAAGAGCCTGCAGCTCACCAAAGGAGGAGAAGCCCGAGAGGACAAATTCGGAGGGCTGGCTCAAATTTGCCATGATCCACAGGCTAGGGCCCTGCATGCAAGGGAAACAAAAGACAGATGGAGAGGCAGAAACAGAGAGATAGAGACCTTGAAACAGAAGAAACAGGGACAGAGACAGAGAATAGAGAGAGAAAGGCAAGTAGCCAGCAGGTGATAAACAGAAGAGCAGAAAGAAAAAGCAATAAAGACAACAAAATGGAATAGGAGAGTCATAGAGAAACAGAGTTAGGGTATCAGCGAAGTGAAAGACATAGAAAGCCATTATTAAGAAGAGAGAAGGCTGGGGATGGTGGCTCATGCCTGTAATCTCAGCACTTTGGGAGGCTGAGGTGGGAGGATCACCTGAGGTCAGGAGTTCAAGACCAGCCTGGCCAACATGGTGAAACCCTGTCTCTACTAAAAATACAAAAATAAGCCAGGTGCAGGCACCTGTAATCTCAGCTACCTGCAAATCTGAGGCACGAGAATTGCTTGAACCTGGGAGGTGGAAGTTGCAGTGAGCCGAAATCGTGCCACTGCACTCCACCCTGCGTGACAGAGCAGGACTCCATCTCAAAAAAGAAAAAAAAAAAAAGAAGAAGAAGAAAGAAAAACAGAGGAATGGATTAAGGAAGACCACATGGCAACAGACATTGACATTTAGAGAGAAAACAAGAAGAAAACAACAGAGGAACAGAGAAAGAACAGAAAAAAATTCAAATATGAGAGAGGGAGAAATAGAGAAATACAGAAAGGGGAGGAACTCAGAAAAAAAGAGAGGGAGAGAAAGCATTAGTGCATGTGACCCAGGAGCCCCTGAACATAGGCTGATTGTATGTGTCACACCCAGAGATTGTACCCCAAGACCCTGTTTAAAGGCTCCCTGCGAACCTTTCTGAGCTGCCTCTCTGAGGATCCTCACTTGTGCACATTTCTCCGGCTGTGATCATGAAATTAGTGAAAGTCAGAGTTTTGAGTCCAGAAATTAGTGTCTTTTAGAGTGGGCCTCTGCTTCGTGTTTGCAAAGATGGAGAGCAGAAAGGGTGCAGGAGGTCAGGGAGCAAGGCCTGGAAATCCAAGTGACTGCTCTCCCGGGACACACACAGTCATCAGGTTTCCCAAGGGCGTCAGTGGTCTACCTAAGGGCGCTGCTTTGCTGTCTCCACTGCACTTCCCCTCCCCTCATGGTGCAAAGTGTAAGCTATGGAGTTGGCCTCCTGTGTTTGAATTCTGGCTCTACACTTGCTTGTCACGGGCCATAAATCTGCTCTTCTTTGTTACTCTCTCTGAGCCCGTTTTCTCAGCTATAAAATAAAGGTATTACTGGTACTTAGCCTCTATGGTGATTATAAAATTAAATAAGTAAACTACTTAGTGCAGTGACTGGCACATACTAGCCAACAAATCGTTGTTGTTATTGTTATCACTGTTCTTATTGTTACGACCGTCAATAGAACTCACATTTTTTTGGCCCATCGTCTCTACACTTCTCGTTGCCAGCATGTGCGTGTGTGTGAAGATCTTTACAGCTTTACACTGTTTCTTGGAATTTCAATTCACCAAAAGGGTACTTTAAAACATTTCAAACACAAACAAACATAAGTATTTACAACACAAACTGTCAGGAGTGGAAGGAGTGAAGCTGTGTATAGATCTACTCTGGCCCTTTCTCTAGCCCCATAAAAGCTTCATCTGGGGCTGTGTCCTGGCCATCCAGCAATGACATTCTAATTTTCAAAAGCCTTGCACCCGGCCGAGCGTGGTAGCTCACACTTGTAATCCCAGAACTTTGGGAGGCTGAGGCAAGTGGATCACGAGGTCAGGAGTTCAAGACCAGCCTGGCCAACACAGTGAAACCCCATCTCTACTAAAAATACAAAAATTAGCTGGGCATGGTGGTGGGCACCAAGTAATCCCAGCTACTTGGGAGGCTGAGGTAGGAGAAGCACTTGAACCTGGGATGTGGGGTTGCAGTGAGTGAGCTGAGATCGTGCCAATGCACTCCAGCCTGGATGACAAAGCTAGACTCCATCTCGAAAACAATAAATAAACAAATAAATATAAATAAATAAAAAGCCTTGCACTCATGCCACTGACAAACCTTAACGGTAGGTCTAAAATCTACCCCAGCACTGACTAAATTCAAACCCAGTCCTTATGTCTGTATTTCATGAGATCCTGACTGACATACAGACTTCCCCCACTCACCTTAGCCTCTAAGCCTGGTGTCTTCTTTGTAAGCTGCTCTCATTTAGGCATTCTTAGCTGTTGACACCTGCCTAGTGGCTTCACTCTGTAATGTGCGTGACATCAGAGATGCAGTCTCTCCCTCGGGTTGTGTCTTGCGGCTGGGAAGGGTGGACAGGAGCGTTGTGCACAGCTGGGAAGAGGTGGCACTGCTGGGTGAGCTAAAACACTGCCAGTCCTTATGCTGATTTTCTAATTCAGCACCTACCCTGTGTCACTACAAAGCCAGGGGCAGCAGCATTGATGTGGGGCTGGGAGATGGGAAAGAAGACCCTCAGGAGACCAGAGGGAAAAGGTGCTGATTCTGTCCCTTCTCTCTCAAGGATGAGTGTTTTCGGCTCTTTCTCTCGTTCACATCTCCAAGTCCTTCGTGTCTTGATGATGTTTACAGCTGAGCTTACTGGATGGGAAACTTAGACTCCAGCAGTGTTTTCTCTGGGAGTGACAGGAAGCCAAGGAGCCCTCTGGGGACTTCTGAGGCACTGACGTTGCTCCTTAGAATAATGAGATGTCCTCTGTTTTGAGGAAAAAGATCTGAATAAAGAAATGGATAAAGACCTAGATACACCCAAGCAGCCGATGGCTTAGGATCAGCACCTCGGCAATGCCTGTCTCCTGGCCCTTGCCCTCCTCCTAGGACCGTGGAAAAAAGATGAGATCATGGAACAAACACAAAGGAATTTTCCCAGCTGGACTAAAATTATGACAGCTTGGGCACCTAGCCAGGGCTGGATCCAGAGTTTCCATTTGCAGACAAAATCTCCAAGTGGATCCAGGATTCAGGGATCTAGGGAGGCAGGGAATGGAGGCCCTGGACCATAGCAGCCTCTTGTTAAAATTCTCCAAAGAAAGTATCATCTGGAGAAGTCTGAGAATCAAACAGTGAGATTAAGAGGCTGATCTCGGCCTCCAGAGGCAGGGCCCTTGGTGGACACATCTTGGGATCTGGTTCCTGTAAGAAGATACACACCCTGGGCACAAAAGAAAAGGGAATATGGTGAGGCCACTCCGAGCTTCCAGCTCCCTAGTAAACTCCTAGTCACAGTCTTTCATCTCAGAGACATTTAAACCTTATGCATTATACCCTGTGCAACCCCACCCACACTGAGACAGAAATAATGACTCAAAGATTTCAAGGAAAAGCTGTACAATGAAGATAGCGCAGGGGGGCCCTGAGTTTAAGAGTAACTAGGGCTGGAGGGGTTGGCCAGGCAATCTTTCTGTAGGACTTGAGCCTGGAACTGAGATTTGGACCTGACCCATTGAAAGCAAAGAACAGGCTGGGCATGGTGGCTCATGCCTGTAATCCCAGCACTTTGAGAGGCCAAGGTGTGTGGATCACTCAAGGTCAGGAGTTTGAGACCAGCCTGGCTAACATGGTGAAACCCCGTCTCTACTAAAAATACAGAAAATTATCCGGGCGTGGTGGTGGACACCTGTAATCCCAGCTACCCAGGAGGCTGAGGCAGGAGAATTGCTTGAGCCCAAGAGGCGGAGGTTGCAGTGAGTTGATATTGTGTCACTGCGCTCCGGCCTGGGTGGCAAAGCAAAACTTTGTCTCAAAACAAAAACAAAAACAAAAACAAAAAAAGAAAGTAAAGAAGAATGCAGGTCAAAAGGCTAGAAATGGAGGAGGAAGAAGAAAGGAGCCAGTTGCTAGCAGGGAGCTCAGGTAGGCAGACAGGTGCTGGCCAGTGCAGGGCTGGAGGCAGGGGCTCAGGAATTGAAAGGCAGGAGGATAGGTCGGGGCTACATGAGCCTTCGTGACTATTCATTTTCTATTGCTTCTGTAGCCAATTACCACAAATTTTGTAACTTAAACAACACAGATGTATTACCTGACAAATTCTACAGGTCAGTAACTTGACACAGGCCTCAATGAGCTAAAATCAAGGCATCATCAGGGCTGCCTTCCTTTCTGGAGTCTCCTTGCTTTTCCAGCTCCTAGAAGCTGCCCACATTCCTTGGCTAATGGTTCCCTCATCCATCTTCAAGGCCAGGCACATGTGTCTCTCAGAACCATCTTCTGTCATCACTTAGCCCTCTGAATGAACTCAGAGGAAAAGTTTCTCTACTTTTACAAATCCCTAAGATTAGATTCAGCCCACCTGGGTCACACCTAAGATTAGATTCAGCCCACCTGGATTGCCCAGGCTAATCCCCTCATCTCAAGGTCTTCAACCCAATCACACCTGCAAAGTCCCTTTTCCTATGTAAAGCAACATTTTCACAAATTCCAAGGATTAGGGCTTGGACATCTTTGAGGGGACATTCCTCTGCCTATCGCAATGACTACGTGCAGCTTTGGTGCCTGGTGAACCACTTATCTGACCAGATCCATTCATCTTTACACAATTGTGTTCATTCCTTAATAAATACGTAGCATCAACTCTGTTAAATGATCATAACATAGAGCAGCCTCCATAATCTAGGAGCATAACCCTAAATCTGTCCTTATTTCCTTTAGGATTAAAGGCACATGGATTAATTCTTATTTCCTTTCTAGCCTTCCCAAAGAGAAAGAGCTAGGATTGAAACAGTGGGGGGAACTACTCTAGTGCCACTAAATTCTGTCCCCTGGGCTTCCCAGGCTTTGAAGAACCGCCCCATTTCCTTTTGGTTAACTTCTTTCACTTGATAAGATTAATGGGAAATGCAGTCATTTACATGGCTGAGTTGATAAAGTTTTCAGTCTCCCAGGGATTTCTTCCTTAGTCAACTCTTCATCTTTTCACAGTCCGTTAATGGGCATTTTCATTGTTACTGCTTCTTTGATCCAGATTGATTCCTACTCCAGTATCCCCTCAGCCTCTGGCCGAAAAATAATCCTTCTCCACTCGTGCCTCCCATTTCACCTGCATGGTGATTGACTATGACAGCTGCTTGTTTCTCTATGTGAAACCCAAGCAAATGCGGGCAGCAGAATAAAACAAGATAGTTTTCCTGTTTATTTTCATGTTGACCCCCTTTCTGAACCTTCTTACAGGTCAGATTTACTGACCTTAATCAGTTTTAGGTGGGCCACTCCTTGTGGATTCTAAGGTAATCTGGAAAACACTAACAAATATCTAAGCTAAAGCATCTTTATTTTCATCATCAAACCA